TGGGATAAGTGTTGATGAGATAAGTTGTATTCGTATACCTTTTTTCGTAAATCTATTTTTATAAAAATTGTAAAGATATGATTTTCTGGAAAATATGGGGGGGAAATTAAAAAAGTCTTAAATCGGGTGGTAATATGAATATACCTCAAAAAACGTACACAGATAAAGCTTAACATAGAAATTGATCTAAATTTTAACGAAATCTGTTTAATTAATGAAATATTTATAATTTCCCTCGTGAACCCAAAATTCTTTGAGAGCAACCTATTTCATTTACATATATATCTATTATCTTAAATTATCCCTTATGGAAACAGAGATATTGACCTATTTTGTACCTTTCCCTAAACCTACTTCGATCAAAATGTTGTCACGTTTCGATTATTGGGATTTTTGTTAGATTTTCAAATCTGTACTGGATTTTAACATCTGTACTGAAAATTAACAAGTAAAAAACATTAAGTTCGGCCGGGTCAAATTTTTAATACCCTCCACCTTAGTGTAAAGGAAACATTAGAAGAAATGTGGCAAACACCATTAAAATGCCGAATATCGGGAGGTACCGTTACATGGGGCTATACCAAAACGTGGACCTATAATTACAATGACTCGCCACACGAACTAGGACCCATTATGATCTACAACTACCAATTTTCAGAGAAATTTTTGAAAAAATGTGTCAAAAGTTATCAAAATTCCGAATGTTGGGAGGTACCGTTATATGGGGACTATATCAAAACGTGGACCTATACATACAATGTTTCTCCACACGAACTGGAACCCATTATGACCAACAAACACCAATTTTTAGACAAAATCGTAAAAAAAATGTGGCAAAAAAAACACCGAATATCGGGAGGTACCTTTATATGGGGGCTATACCAAAACGTGGACCTATACATGTAATGTTTTGCCACACGCACAGGGACCCGTTATGACCTACAAATAACAATTTTCAGACAAATCCGTTAAAAAATGTGTCATAAATAATCAAAATACCGAATATCGGGAGGTACCGTTATATGGGGACTATACCAGAACGTGGACCGATATATCTCATTTTCAATACCAACCATCCTAGGCCTAATACAAATTGCTCTGCTAAATTTTGGCACTCTACGTCAAATAATGTGGGCTGTATCGTGATTTCAACAGACAGACAGGCGGACAGACAGACAGACGGACATCTTTAAATCGACTTAGAATTTTACGCTGATTATGAATATATATACTTTATGGGGTCTACGACGAATATTTAAGGATGTTACAAACGGAATGACAAAGTTAATATACCCTCCTTTCCAAGGTGGAGGGTATAAAAATGGCAAATGACTTCCAGCCTTTTTGAAGATTGTGACTGAGAGAAATACAAATATTACTTTCGCTCCCTTTATTAAAATAGTTGGAAATTCATCCTACCGAGAATCGGAAATCTGAAAATTGGTTAAATCAAATAAATGATCAAATTCCGAAAATCTGAAGATATTGTTTTATGGGGCCATGTTTTATATAGACATTGTGGCCTTTTCTCTATTCCAACCACCTAAACACCATATCATATCTGGTGTAAAATTTCTAAATGTCTAAGTTAGAAAACGAGGGCGCTAAAATAATTGATATATCGGCGGATAAGCACCGTAAAAATGAGCTCACTTTTTAAGCTTGTCCTGATTTTTTATTTTTTTTTATATGGAAAAAAAGTTTTGATCGATATTAACTTGAACCTAAATTTCGGAGATAATAACGAATGTTAAGGTACAAGTACATAAAAGGCTTGAAGTCATGGCTAGGCATATTAATGTCAAACTATAATGGAAAACGACGGCAGGATTTTAATGAGGCTCTGTAATCTCTTTATGAAATGTCACAAAATATGCCTAGCTTCTTATGTACTTTCACCTTCACAGTTAAATGTCAGATATTTCTTTCTAAATTCTAATTTTGATCAATCTTGAATGTGAATACACACACAATAAATTCCATCTATTTTTCGATATCGAATGTGATAATTTGGGGCAGTAACTATACTCTCTTATGGAGCACTTGTATATTCTGGTATGCAATGGTATCAGAATTACACAAAATAAATGGTGAGACCTAGTTAATGCATGCATGTCCTTAACGCTCACGGAATTTGGAAATTGCCTTTTCATGTCCATTTGCGAAAACTGACAGATTTACGTCTACCAAATGCCTAATATTGTTCTTTGGATGTTTTCTCAACTTCAGCAAAAAAGCGGGAGAGGGAAATTAGCGTTTAAGACTTTATCTGCTACAGCCCCACATAAGTTTTAGATCAGTTTTAAAAAGTCATTTAACCCATAACCTCACAGAAAAATGTCTGAATGCCTCAGAAGTAAAAAATTAAGAGCGCCTTCAAGGTGGCGAGGTTTTCAAAACTATATTTAAGATGCTAGTTGAGCAAACTATCCGTAACTCGACTTTCGATTTATCTACTTTTGGTATGGAAAAGAAGAAGCTGTTTCTATATGACTATACGAAATGAATTTTCATTATTTTAATACCTTAAAAAAGAAGGTATAAAGTATATATATATATTCATTATCAGTATAAAATTCTACATCGATTTAACGATATCCGTCTGGCTGTTGAAATCACGATACAGGCCACACCATTTGACATAGAGCTTCAAAATTTGGCCGAACTATTTGTTTTGTGTCTAGGATGAATGGTTGGAAAATGAGATCTATCTATCTACGTTTTGGTATAGCCGCTCCGGATATTCGGTATTTTTATGATTTTTGCCACACTTTTTAACGGATTTGTCTAAAAACTGGTAGTTGTAGTTTATAATGGGTTCTACCTCCGGTGGCGAAGCATTGTATGTATAGGTCCACGTTTTTGTATATTCTCATATAACAGTGCTTCCCGATATTCGGTATTTTGACGATTTTTGCCACATTTTTGCACGGATTTGTCTAAAAATTGGTATTTGTTGTTCATAATGGGTTTTAGCTTCGGTGGCAGAACATTGAATATTTAGGTCCACGTTTTCCCACAGATATTCGGTATTTCGTTAATCCTGGCCACATTTACCACGAAAATTTGGTATCTAAGAAGATTTTGTAGATGACAATCCTTACCTCTATAGAGGTTCCCGTTTTGGTATGGCCCCATATAACGAGCTCACCCAAATCATAGTTTTTCTAGAAAAGTTTAACGGAATTATCCAGACGATCTTACTGATATTTGTAGTTTAAAGTGGAACCCGTTTGAATTCAATACTTTTATACAAAAATATTTTCTTTACCCAATGGTGGAGGGTATTAAATATGTTTTATATCCTCCACCATACATAGTATGGAGGATGTATAGTCATTCCGTTTGTAACTCATCGAAATAAGAATTTTAGACCCAACAAAGTACATATATTCTTGATCAGCGTCAAATTCTAAGACAATTTAGCCCTTCCCGTCTGTGCGTCTATTCTAATCACACAACAGTGAAAACGGATTAAGATAGGAAGCTAAAACTTTTCACAGATCTGTCTTTTGTCTGTAGGTAGGTCAAGTTCAAGGATGGGCTATATAGATCCACAATATCGTCTATCCCCCATATAATAGTACCCCCGGTTATTCGGTATTCTGAATATCATATATCTCCCACATAACGGTTCCTCCCGATATTCGGTATTCTTATGATTGTAGCCAAAATTTTCAATGGAATTGTCTGAAAATCCACACAAGGAGTTCCTTCTGAGTACTTTACTCCTGAAAGAGAATTGTTGATATAGGTCCACGATATCGTACATCCTCCATATAACGGTACCTCCCGATATTCAGTATTTTGATGATTTTTTATCGGAATTGTTTGAAATTTCGTAGTGGAAACTACAGCCTACGACAAAATTGTGTATGCAGTTGTAAGTCTTCGTATATTGCCCCCCCCCCCCCCCTTCTTCTTCATATAGCCCACACATAATGCCACCTCCACTTATTCGGAGGTCGCATCATGTGTTTATTACATTTATTTTGATGATTTTTTACCGGAATTTTTTCCATTTTTGTATTTAAAAAATCACAACTCACAACATTCGGTTTAATAGTCAAACCCCAAACTCTGTGCTGCATTACATGGTAATATATAATATATCAAATAAATATATATTAAATATATATTTTTATTCATAATTTTTAAAAATAACCTCATATTTCCAACCTACCGCTAATACAAAAGGTAGATTGTCTGCATTACCTTGTAATTCAGCTGAAGTGACGAGAAAAAATTCAATTCGAGGCTTAGCCAATGTAACATCGTTCTTGATTATTAATTTGATTATCGGCATATGTCGGTTAATTCCGATGCCCTACATTTTCCTTAGCTGCATTTTGGTCTTTTCAAGTTAAAAGAATTTTGTCAAAGGTCATTCCACTTTCCTATGATATTTTTAATTAGTTTTTTTTTATTTCTTTAAATTTTTAAATTCTTCTTTGCATTATTTCCCCAAATTTTATTTCCAAACCCATTCCAGAAAACCATATCTTCGATGATGTAAATATTTTTAAGCGGCAAGTTAAAAGTATATTGCACTTAATAAAATTTTTTGTTTATTGGATTATGTGTTTTCATATATTTTATTAAATTTAAATGTATAATTTATTTTACAAACAAAAAACGAAATTAATTACATAATTAAAAAAAAGAACCAAAATAATTTTGAAAATAAGTAAAAATACTTTAACTTATTTTGATATTGTTGCTGCTGCGGCTTGTGGTGAAATGTGTTGAGATATTGAGATCTTGTGTAAAACTGATTGTAATAAAAAAAAATTAATGTTTTCTTGTTATTTTTTAGCGAATTTGTTTATGATGACATTAAATTAATTATTTTGCAAAATACTATAGATTATGAGTGACTGATTGACGGAGATGATTTTGGGCAATGTGAAGTGGTGATTTGTTTGTGTGTGTATTGCTAATTATTTATTTTTCCACGTTTCCTTATCTCTTGTCTTTCTTTTGCTATGTTGTTAAATAAGTTTTCTTTCGTTTTATTTTTTTGAAATTTTATTTAGATAATTTTTAAGATCATCAGCTGATTTGTGTGTGTTTTGTTTGTTTTTTTTTTTTTCAATTTATTTTTCTTTTTTCTTTAACTATTACATAAATTACAAACAAAATTATTTTAATATTTAGTTATTTATAAAAATTAATAATTAGAATAATATTTACACAAAAAATGCACATAAAATCAATGAGGAATGTTTTTTTTAGATTTGTTTTTTTAAAGTTTTTTTTAAGGTTTATGTCTTACATAAAGGGTTTTTTGTTTTGTGTTTTCTTTTTTTTTTTCCTATATATTTAAAACTTATTTTATCCATAAAAAATATCTAGAAAAGTGTTGTTTTTTTTAGAATTATTTTTGTTTTATTTCTTTATATGTATATTTTGTAAATTATTAAAATAAAACTAAACAACTTTTGTATTGTTAACTTTTTACACTGATAATTATTATTTATTTATTGTTGTTTTTTTATTTTTAATTAAGGAAATATATTTATATGCTTAAAATATTATTTTAAAATAGTTTTTTGTTTTTTCGTAATTCTTTACTAAGTATTTTTTTGTGTTTCTTTTCTAAATACAATTAATTATTTATTATTGTTCGCTTTGTATTTTAATTTTTTGTTTTTTTTTCAGATAATTTATTTTTTATTTATTCTACGAAAAAAAAAGAATAATGTTGGTTTGTTTTGTTATTGAATTTTTTTTTTGTTTAATATATATGCATTAAATTATCTATAGGATCGGTTTGGTAAAAGGTTGTTGTGGTTGCTATAGTAGAGGTTGGTGGTGTCTGTTAGACCGCTGGCCATACCCTGTAATGAAAGAAAAAAAAGTTGAGAATGGGATTAGTAAATTGGGAATTTAAATTGGGTAATATTTTAAATAAAAATTAGACGGAAGAGTTCTACAAATAAATTTAAAAATAATTTCAACTGGGTATGGAAAATTTTTTTAAAATTATCAAGATAAAATAATAGATCCCAAGAAAGTTTCTAAGAACTATAAGGCTTAATTATTTTATATTATTATTGCCCCACTTATATTGGGAATCCTAAAAGCTCTCCTATTTAAAAAATTTACTCAGATAGCTAACCCTTTCCCTATATATTGGCTGATTTTCTTGCTAAACTTATTTCTTACTTCCAATTTATTAATATTTTTATAAATTTTCTGGATTTTTTTATATCCTCCACCTTGAAAAGGAGGGTGGGTATTTTAACTTTGTCATTCAGTTTGTAAAATCCTTAAATATTCATCGTAGGCCCCATAAATCAGCATAAAATTCCAAGTCGATTTAACGATGTCCGTCTGCCTGTTGATTTCACAATACAGCCCACATTATTTGACGTAGAGAGTCAAAATTTGGCAGAACAGTTTGTATTGTGCCTAGGATAGTTGATATTGAAAATGAGATATATCCGTCCACGTTTTTGTATAGTCCCCATATAACGGTACCGTTCGATATTCGGTATTTTGTTGTTTTTGGCCACACTTTTTCACGGATTTGTCTAAAAATTGGTATTTGTAGGTCATAATGGGTTCTAGCTCGTGTGGCGAAACATTGCAGGTATAAGTCCACTTTAGGTATAGCCCCCATATAACGGTACCTACCGATATTCGGTATTTTGATGATTTTTGCCACATTTTCTAGCTCATATTTTTTCCTCCAAAAAAACGTTTTTCAAAATTTTCCCCAGATATCTATTTTTTTCCCAATATAGCACTTGATTTTTTCTTAGTATTATTATGGATCTTTGAAAATTCTTAAATATTTTTTCGAAATCCTTAATCCCTTAAATCCTTATGTTCCTTAGATATCTAAACCTAGATATCTAAACCTTTCTATTTCATTTTTTTTTTTTTTTTGGTTCTTATTTTATTTTCTTATTAACAAAGTTTACCTACGTTAATAGCGATGGATTTGTTTCAGGCTGATACCAGTACTGATGCGGTACATAGCCGCCCATTTGTGGCGGTGGATTGTGATGATGGGTCTGCGGATGTGAAACAGCTGGATGAGGTGGTTGCGGTGTCATTTGCGGTGGCTTATGATCGATCCAATGAGGTTTTTGATCCCAGGGCGCTTGCGTTGGCGGACTTAACCCCGTGGGTGGAAATTCTGGAAACGAAACGAAGAGATATAGGAAAAACATTAGTTTAAGGAATTAAAAAAATTATATTATTTATTTTTTTAATTTTTTTTTTTTTAATTTTATTTAAAATTTAATTAAATATTAATTATATTCGAGAATTATATTGGAGAAATTTCTTAAGATTTTCAAGCATTTGTCGTGCATTTAAAATACAAGGTGAGATGAAAAAACTGCAACAAAACTGCTTCAGACTGGTGTCTTTTCTAAGCGAATCCTTCGAATGTCCGACCTTGGACATTCCAACAGGACTCGGCACCATCGCACTCAGAACGCGCCAACCAAGAATGGTTATAAAATGAGGTTACTCGCTTCATTTCCAGCGCACAATGGCCACCAAAATCTCCGGATCCGGATATTTTGAAAATCAAGATTGGCACTAAAAAATACCAAAGTGTCGATCACCTCAAGAAAGCGCTTCGCCGGAAATGGCCCAAAAATACCGCAGAGCAACATTCGGGCAGTGTGTGACGATTTCATTGGCCTTTTGAAGGCCATAATTCGTGCCAAATGTGACCAATACGAACAAATCTAAACTTATTCCAAAATTGTATGCTATTTCCGACATTAATTCCTTCATTCAATAAAATTAAGAAAAAAATGTAAAAATTATGGCGTTTGACTTTGCTGCAGTTATTTTTATTCCACCCTGCAAAAGACTTTTTTTTAAGTTTTGCCTTGTTAGGACGAAGATCATTTTCGAGACGAGTTAAAATTTAAATTTTTTAATTTAACTTTCTTAGTTTTCTTTTTTACTTACCGGGTGATAATTCAGATACAGGCGTACTTGAAGGCGTCGGACTATGTCCGGGAGGTAGATAATGTGAGGGTGAACCACTATTTGAACCGCCACCGTTATTACCGCCTGGAATATGAGAAAAAATATGAAATTATTTTTAGTTTTAATTGAATTAAAATTAAAAAAAAATATTTTGAAATTTTAAAAATATATTTTTTTTAAATAAAAATAAGTTAATTAAAATTCGGAATGTTTTTTTAATACAAAAAAAATAATTATTTCAATAGATCTTTACTTTTCAATTTATTAACTAAAAGTATTTGAGCTTTTTTTGATTTAATTTTATTTAACTATATTTTTTATTAACTAAATAAAATATTTTTTTATTTTTTAATTTGTTTTTTTGTTCAATAGATCTTTAGTTTTCAATTTATTAACTAAAAATATTTGAGCTTTTTTTATTTTCTTTTATGTTATTTGATTTTATTTTTATTAATTAGTTAATTTATTTATTTATATTTATTTTATTGTGCTTTCTTTTTTTATTTTTTATTTATTTATTTATTTTTGTTAGTTATTGTTGTTATTTTTAGTTTTAATTGAATTAAAATTAAAAATATATATATTTTGAAATTTTAAATGATTTTTTTAATAAAAAAATATATAAAAATTAGGAATGTTTTTAATAAAAAATAGTTATTTTAATAGATTTTTTACTGGATTTAATAACTAAAAATATATTTGAGATTTTTTCTTTTATTTTATTTAATTTAATTTTATTTTTAATTAATTCAATTATTTTTCTATTAATTTTTTATTTATTATTTTTTTCAATAGATATTTAGTTTTAAATTTATTAACTAAAAATATTTGAGCTTATTTTTATTTATTTTCTTTTGTTATTTAATTTTATTTTTTTTTTTTTTTATTAATTAGTTAATTTATTTATTTATTTTTATTTTTCTATCTTTTTTTATTTTTTTATTTATTTTTTTGATTGTTTTTTTGTTACTCACCACTATGCATATTCTGATTCGGACTATGCTGACCGGGATTTGGACCACCACTACCCAATGGCATGCCGCTGCCTTGGCCAGGAACTTGGGCGGCTTTCATCATCTTTTTGTACTTTGAGCGGCGATTTTGAAACCAGATTTTGACCTAAAATGAAAAACAGAAAAAAAACAATTATTATTTCATATTTACAAACTATAATATTTAAACTGCCTAGTCTTTTCAAAATTATTATTACAAATTATGACATTAACAATTTTCCCATACTAAGCCAGTCATATTTTTTAGTTTATGAAGTTCCAGGCAGCCAGAGTTGTTGGCTGCTAGAAATGCTAATACCTTTTAATTGGCCATTATTAGTTGGTGCAATTTGAAAAGTTAATAAACTAAATAAGCCCCGTGAAAGACGAGACGACAACAATTGCAAATGCTCACAACAAATATGGAAGGAGAGTTATGTGAGCCGAGCTACGAGCTGTGAAGTTGGTGGTGTAAAACCATCAATGACTGTGGTCATCATCTATCGAGCTCCATATTAATGAGATGGGATAGCTGAATTTTCCAACTTGACGGGCAGCAACAACAAAAATGTTTTAATAATCTATTAAATAATTAGGAGTTAGATGGAGAGTATTTATTAGCCATGGCTATAATGCCGGCTCTGGCTTCGTGTTACGAACAAATTTGTTAACTTGGCCATAATAGCGAAGTGAGCCGTTAATCGTTTTCGAAGACAACAAATAAAATTAACGTTAACATATTTAAAATTGCCCACCAAGACACAAGTCAAATAATTTATGGCAGCGGAAAATCAATATGATTTGTCATGAGGATAATATGTCTACATCTACATTTGTTCGGCTGAATATGGTGGCAATGGCGGGTATTTGCTAAATAATTCTAAGACAAATTATCTGCAATTCAAACAAATTCATTTGTTATTCATTCAAGCTGAATAATAAACAGCGAGTCAGCTACGAAGCATGTAACATAGCAAAGTTATTTATTTAAACTTTGCTGAATATGGTTTAAAAGCTTTATTAGCTAACTAATGGCGACTGAAGCATGGAATAAATTTTCAACGAAATTGGTCATAGGAAGAGAACAGAACAGTAGCTACTATGCCACCAGCTGAATTATTAATTTAATGGAAAGCTCTGACATGAAAGTTACAGTTGGAATAGTCTGGTAGAAAGAGTGGCGTAATATGAAAAGGCTAAAATGAATTGCGATGATATAATTATTAGAAAAGATATATGAATGAAGAATATTTTTCAAAGAACTATATTCTAAGTTATAATTGAGGTTTTTTTTAAATAAATTATATATAGAAATAGATTTTCAAAATATTTTCATTGGATACTCGAAGATATATCTCTTAATTAAAAAAAAAATTACAGGACTGTATGATATGTAAGCGTGGATTTTTGCAATATATATTTTTAAACGGCTATCGTAGTTTCAAGTGTGACGTTTTAAATAAGAATATAAGGAAGCTTGGCTTTTTGAAAAAATTATTTTTTAAATAACTATCTGAGTCATAAACGAGAATTTTTTCAAATAATTTCTAAAGCTGAAATAATGGACTTTTAATTATTTTTTAAAAGAATTTCTGAGTTACATGTTTTGGTTTCAGAAATATTTTTGCGAAAGGACTATTCAAGTTATAAGCGTGGATTTTTTAAATTAAATTTAGAGAGGACCATGTGCGTGGTATTTTCAGAATCATAATTTTCAAAAGCATGCACTTTTTTAAATATATTTTGAAAGGATTATCTGAGTAATAAGCATGAATTTTATTACAATTTTTTATTTATCAGCTATAAGCGTGGATATTTTTAAAATATATTTTAAAGGATATTTTTAAATATTAATATTTCAAAGAGCTATCTTAAGCGTGGTAATTTTTAAAAAATATTTTTCAAAGGACTATCTTTTGCGGGGATATTTTTAAAATATTTTTGCAAAGGACTATCTTAGGCGTGGATATTTTTTAATTATTTTTTCAAGGATATATTTAAATATTAATTTTTCAAGGGACTAACTTAATCGTGGGAATTTTTAAAAGAATATTTTTAAACTTCAATTTACTATCTTATGCTTATTTTATTTTTTAATTATTTTTTTAAAGAATATTTTTTAAATTTTATTTATTTTCTTTTTCTTCAAGGACTTTTTAAATAAAAGCGTTGATTTTTAAAATAATTTTTTATGAGTTATAACTTTTGCCTATTTTTTAAGTCTGCATTTTTTATATAATTTTAATTTTTTTATCCATAAACGTAGAATATTTGAAAATAATTGTTAATTTAAAATCGAGAAACATAAACCTGAACTTAAAAAAAGAAATTGAAAGGACTTTAAGAGCCATAATCGTGGATTTTTCTAAATAATTTCCGAAAGGACTTTCAAAGCCATAGCAACTATTTTTTAATAATTTTTGAAAATATTTCGGAGCCATGGACTTTCTGACAATGATTTTGAATTTTTATTTTGGAAAGGACTTTCAGAGCCATAATTGTAGTTTTTTAAAGAAATAATTTTTGATTTGTTTATAAAAAAAATTGTCATAAGCCTTATTTTTTTTAATATTTTTTGAAAGAATTTTTCGAGACATTATTGTGGATTTCTTTAAATGTTTTGTGAACTTTTTAAATAGTTTTTGAAAGGATTTTCAAGCATTAATGATATTTGATTGGCCTGTCGAAGCCATATTTATGAATTATATAAATACCTTTGAACGACATTTTCAATCCACGGTCCCGATTTTTTTGAAAAAAATTTGAGTTTTTAAAATATATTTCTTAAATAATTTTAAATAAAACTTTCAAAGCCACATTGAGAGTTTCAAATATTTTTAAAGGAATTGAAAGAGCCACAAGGGTAGTTCCTTAAAATAATTTTTGAAAGGATTTTCAGTGCCATAATTTTGTTATTTTTAGAAAGGATTTTCAATGCCACAATCACAAGCTTTGAAAGCACATCCAGAGCCATGCTCATAGCTTTTTAAAAAAATTTTTAATAACCTTGAAATTCAAAATCGTGTATTTTCAAAATATTTTTTGAAATATTTTTCAAAGACGTAATAGTTTTTTTTTTTTTTTTTTTTTTTTTTTTTTTTTTTTTTTGTAAAAGAAATTTTTGAAAGGGCTTTCAGAGTAGTTTTCATAGATTTCTTAAATAACTTGCGAAAGGTCTTTCAGAGAAATTTTAGGAAGTTTCAAGACCATAAAAAATTATTTAAAATAAATTTTGGAAACATTTTCGGAAGGCAAAACGTAAAAATAGTCTCCCAAAAAATTTTTAAATAATCCGCAATTGCTGATATGTATAAATTTACGAAAAAAAAACTTTAAAAATTAACGTTTCTCTCTTTAGAAACCGTTTAAAAAAACACGGTTTTTGCTGTGATATCAAATGCAAATAAAATCCTAAAAAAATCAATGAAAGCAACTCTAAACGCCCGTGAAAAAATTAATAAAAATCTACTTTGGAATGTATACAAAAAACTTTTTTAAAATGTTTTTTTTTTGCACTTCATCTAACATTTTGTAAATTTGAAGACATCTCTATTAGATGAAATCAGCATTTATTTCACATTTCTGTAAAAAAAAATAAAAAACATAAAAAGATGATGACTTTCTAATGCTGAATAAAGATGTACAGCAAATCTTGTCATCATAGAATAGCCAGCTACCAATTATGTTGTTACAGGAAGTAATTAAAATTGTTTGACAATAGTTCAAAAATAGCTTATACAACATTGTTGTAAGTTTATTACTTTATTTGCGTTTATGTATAAAGATATTGTTATCTTTCTTGTTTCTTTCTCTTTTCATAACATTGTTCGAGAGGGGGGCTTAAGACATAGTGTCTTAAAACCACTTTCGCTCTAAGAAAAACCACTTTCAAAGCCAATCTAGATACAAGACAAGAAGTATGGTTTGTGCCTCTCAATCTGTAGCATAAACTGTCTGACCGACCGACGGCCGAACAGACCGAAAGTAATAATCACACTTTGCATATAACACATTGTTTTTTTGTGCAGAAATGAGGTAGAATAGCAACAAAAAAATGTATTTAACATTTATGACGTTTAGACAATGAGTGGTATAAATTATGATGGAAATGAGGCGGTAGTAAGAGCAACGAACGTGTTTTTTTTGCAGTCTGTCTTAAAGGCGAAAACAATGGTCTCTTAATGGCATAATTCAGGTTAGCCATAAATGAATGAAATGATAACAAGTTTCAATTTCATTTGGCCATTATGTTAGAAAGAAAGAAAACTGTAAATATTTGGTAATAAAATGGATGAAAAAGAAATTTTAAGTTATTGCGGAATTGGGTAAGGTTGGAATGGTAGGCTAGAATTTTCGGTTCTAGAAGAACCAAAGAATTGTATTTTTGGCAATCCATTCATGTATTTTACACTATCAGAGCAACTTTCTTGAATTTTTCAAATTTTATTCTCAAGACTATCACAGCTACAACTGTGGATTTTTTAAAGAGCAATAATCGTGGTCTTTTAATGAAATTTCGTAGTAATCAAAGGATTTTTAATTTTTCTAAATCCATAACCGTAGCCTTAATATTTGTTCAAGTATTTTTTTTTAATTTTTGTTTTTAAATTGGTTCGTTTTAAATTTTTTCTTGGGATTCTTATATTTTTTTTAAACTGCAATCAAATCTATAATCATAAACTTTTTAAAGATTTTTTTCCAAACACTATAAGACCGACATTCTTGAATTTTTCAAAAAAATTCAAATATTATTCGGAGTCTATCACAGCTAAAATTGTGGATTTTTAAAAGAGTGAGAATTTTTATTATTTTTTTTTTTCTAAGACCCATAGTTATTAGTTTTTCAAACATTTTTTTTCTTTTGTTTTTATTAGGCCCATTAGCGGATTTTTAATTTTTTAAGTGCTATATTCATGGATTTTTTTAAAGATTTTTCCAGTCACTATCAGAGCAACATACTTTAATTTTTCAATTTTTTTCAAAATTTTATTCGAAGACCATCCGACCTACAATTGCGAATTTTTTCCGAGAAACAATCGTGTTTTTATTAAAATTCTGCAGGGACTCCAGAGCTATAAGCATGAATTTTAATTTTTTTTTCTATGACCCATAATTTTTTATTTTTAA